ATCCTTTTTTCTCTAATCTTGTCTTTTTGTTTTATTTCATGAAGTTGGTCTTCGACCTCTAATATCTTTTCTTCTACTTGATCAATTCGGCTGTTAAAACTTGTGCATAGTTCGCGAAGTTCTCGTGTTGTATTTTTCAGCTCCATTAATTCAGTTATATTCCTCTCTATGTGTTATTTTTAACATTTCTTCAAACCTTTTTTCAAAATTCTTAGTTTCTTTGCATTGGGTTAGAACAAGTTCTTTTAATTCCCAGAAGTTTCTTATCATCCACTTTTTAAAGTCTGCTTCTGCTAATGGAACACAGTCTTTCTCCATCAGGTCTTGTTCTGTTGCTGATGAGGAACTGTGATCCCCTGTGGAGGGAGAGGCGTTCTGAGTTTGGGTATTCTCAGCCTTTTTAGGCTGTTTTCTTCCTTTCTTTATAGATTTATCCATCTATGATCTTTATAATTACCGTCTTTATAGTTGGGTTTCTGAATGGATGTCCAACTTGTTGATTCCCGGCGCTAGAATCTAAGCAACCCACTGTACCGGTCAAAACAGCGGCTTTAAGATTGATGGTGCTTTTCTGACTCTGCACCAAGAACCATCGCTCCAAGGCAGCAGCAAAACTGCCTCACCAGCCTCAAGAGTCGCGCTGGAGACACACGTGGGGCGCCTCCACTGGGAATCTCCTGGTGCATGAGCAACAAAAATTGGTCTGAAAGTGTGGCGTCCTCTCGTTCCGTGCGCTTTCAGTGGGAGCTACAATCCCAGGCTGCTAGTGCTCAGCCACCTTGGATCTCTCTCCTCCTAGTGGAATTTTGATAGAAACTTATAGAGCGTTTATCGAGAAAGTCCTCTGGGGAACTCTGAATTCAATGATGCCCCAGGACGACAGTAGCACTCCAGGTTTTTAGGACAGAAACACAACTGTCATGTCAAAGGAAGAAATATCCCAATAATCTAAAAGGAGTCCTTCCTTTCCAGTTTGTGGAGAAAAGGATTTTTGGAGCTACTCCACCATGTCACTGATATGACCCTTTGGTTTTGGTTCTTCTTTATATCTTCTATGTTTTTGGTGAAGTTTTCTCATTTTCCATTTGTTTCAAGAAAATCTATTGTTGTTTGAAGTATTTTTATGACGTTTCCTTTGAGGTCTTTGTCAGGTAATTCTAATCTCTGGTTTATCTCTGTGTTAGCATCCAACTCCAAACCTGGAAATGAAGGACATTTGCTCATGCGTGAGGTATCTACTTATCTCTGATTCAGGACTCATTCCAGAATTCTGAACCTTGGATAACTGCCTCCAGGACAAGCGAGAAGGTGAGGCTGGCAGCCTCCATACTGGAGATCAAGTTCTGGATTGTCCCAAGTAGCTGGGTAAGTAAGGGAACAACATTTAAGTAGCAAGAAACAACTTCTGTGAGTTTTCTCACAGCTAAAAAAGTTAAAAACAACAATCTCTTGTTGTTTTTAATCTTAATAGTTCCAAGATTATTAGTTAATTATGAATGAGATGAGAAAGAAGAATATTTGTAAACTATTCGTAGGTAAATAAATGCAAACCATTTGAGAAGCTCCATAAATGGTAGCATTCACTCCCTAACCCCCACTTAGAAGACACTGAAAAATGTTTACAAATAGCACCCAAGGGTTCAATAAAACCACTCCTTACAATTAAGACAAAGTCCTTACCCTCAAATATTGGAGCTTGCTCTACTGGCTACCTAGCTCTTGCTAATATGGAACAGGGAACATACAAAGGACAAAAGAGATGCTTTTATTTGCATGGTGGTTAAAGACAGATTTCAAATGATCAGATTGACTTTGAAGTAAATTCCAGCTCTGTCACTGTGACCTTGAGCTAGTTTCTTTACTTCACTCAACCTCATTCCACATTCTATAGAATGAGGATAATAACAGAATATGCCTTCTGAAGTGCTGCAGGGATTAAATGTTACGGAGGCTGTGGAAACCTGGTTCTTGCCTTCGGTCCTCAGGCCAACTCCATGGACATTGTCTGTGTCTCTGTCTTAGACAAAGTAGATATGAAAATTTTGCTTTCACACCAAATTGCCGAGAACTTGCAATTACAAGGCAGTGTCCTGTAGAAAGTATTACAGCAGGAAGTGGGACACGAGCCTATCTGAGGTGGTCGTCACAGGGTGAAGGAAGTAGGAAAAGAATGCTACGTGACACATCATAGTTTTGAGAGGCTGTCAGCAGGAAACAGCAATGACCGCAGTGACTGAGGTTTCCCGAGCAATGCTGTTTCCGGAAAAACGTCTGGTTCCAGACCCAAGAGAGGGTTCTTGGATCTCACACAAGAAAGAATTCAGAGCAAGTCCGTGGTGCAAAGCAAAAGTAAGTTTATTAAGAAACAGTATATAAC